GAAGCTCCCACCATCCTGCTCCTGCGAGCGCTGGACACACGCTCGCTCCTCTCCTGCTTCTGCGTCTCACTGTGGAAATTAGGACTTGCCTGTACAAACATTCAACTTTTCAACAAATTAACTCTAACAAATCTGCGCAAATTACTTCAGAGCAAAACTGCTGAAATGAGCTCTGCTGGCCTGCTTTTAACATTTTTTTAAATAATGTCATCTTGGCGTAAGTATTTCATTCCCTGTTTAACAATATGATCTGATGGGGATCATTAGCATGTGTGTGTTTTTTTTTTTAAAAAAAAAAAGTTTTATGGCAAGTCTCAGAGAGCTTAAGCAAAATAATTGTTAAGCTCCAGGCCTCCGCACAAAAATTAAAACACGTATGGGGCGAGCATACTTGAGAGAAACCAAAGCTTTTAAAAAGGCTGTTAAATTGTCAGCACAAGGGAAAAGGCAAATGATTTGAACAGCCCAGATTTTTTTCCTGCAGAAGGGGAACAAAAAAATAAAAAGCAAACCCACCAACCTGCCACCCTACCCTAGCCTCCACTCCTACGAGCATCACCTCCCATCTGCAGCCAGAAGGTCCTGTAACACCCGGACCCACCGAGAGCAGCTCTGCACGCCCACCCCCCCAAACACCCCCCAAAGCAGCTGGGCACCAGCAGGGCAAACAAACACCTTCCCCTCCATTTCACAGCAGACTTGGCCAAAAGCAGCTCAAACGCACATCCAGGAGTGGAGGGGTTTGGTGGAAACTCTCCCCCGCGGCCAGCGGCCACCGGCCGGGCTTGCAGCGGCGAGGCCCCAGTGGAAGGGAGGGCATGGGGCGGGTTCTGCCTGCGCCGGTGGCCAGCCTGGACCTGCGTCCTTGTCACGCTATTGTTTTCACGGCTGGAATGCCCTACCAGTGATGACCCACAGCATATAAATACATAAAAGCAATTAAAAAAAAAAAAACAAAACACAACACAAACCCAAAAACCCGCTGTATTTTTCAACGGAGGGAAAGCTGCACAACACTTCCCAGCTCAGGTTTCCTGCAGCTGGTGCTTATTAGCTCCCAGGAACTGAAACAAGCAGGAGCAGGGCTCCTGGAGTCAGAATCGTAAGAATCATAATTTGGAAAAGACCTCTAAGATCATCGAGTCCTGCCACGGGCCTCCAGTACCTCCCCTAACCATGGGACCACATCTCTCCACCTTCAGAGTCTGCACCTTCTCCCTGGATCTCGACATGCCACGCAAGTGGAAATATTCCTGATCCTAGTTTTGCCGTTAGTCTCTCCCTTGGCCAGTGCTGCAGAATCACATGCAGGAACACACCTGGACATCAACTCTGAAGCTCTGGAGTTTCTCCAATATTTAGCTAGAGACTCTTTGGGGAAGGGGCATCTTGACAAATTTTAACCAGAGATAACCCAGCAGTAACACAGGAGAGCGCAGTGCTGAGGGGAGGGCTGAGAATTATGGGGAAGGCGACAGCAATGAAGACGGAGCTTAACAAGAGTAACTGCTCTCTGTGGACAAGAAAAATTCTTCCAATAGGATACTCATCTTGGTACCTACAAAGAAAGGTCTGCAACCTACTAGTGTCCAGAAGGCAAAGCCTCTAAGGATTTAAAAGTAGACCCTCAGCTTCTGCTCCATCCCTTAACTCACCTCCACCCCTTGTTTTTGCTGTCAGTTATCACCTTGTTAGTAGAGGTCTGCAATGTGAAAGCAAAATCTGAAGGGTTTATTTTAAATAACCGAACGAGACTGCTGCAGGAATTTTAAAAGGGCCTCCTATTTCTTGCAGATCTGCAACGTCTGGAATTTTTTGTACAAGAAGTAATGGACACCACCCACCATGTTCAGCCCTTCTGCAGAATACGTAATGTAGCGCGACGAGGCACAGGGGAGCTGCTCCAAATGAGAGCGACGAGGCTCATTTCAATGAGACCGATCCTTTGCACACAAAAGATTTCCCCACAGCATTCAAGAAATGAAAGCACGCAATTATAAAACACGGAAGTATTTATCACATATCTCCAGTTCTTTTTTTTTTTTAAACTATTATCACCCTGTAACTATTGCAACACTGAAGAAAAAAATTAAATAAAATGCATAAATAGGTAAAAAGCGGCACCAAAAAAAAAGCAATTGGTGAGTGTTGTGTACCTGCACAGGCCCGTGCACGTGGGGCACTAAGTCCTCTTCCCAATTTAAAATGTCACTTCTTCACCAGCTTTGGTATCAGCCAAACCATCTTGTGATATATTTCTGAACAAGACACTTCTAGTACCTTGAATTTCCCCGTTATTGATAACTTGAGTGACCTTGTCTCCTTCCTCTCCAGTAAAACACAACAGTCCCTGAAGTGGGGGCCTTGAGCTGCCCGTTTTAGTATTTCGCCTGTGCCTCTGCCACACCGCTGAAGCGCTGCTAGGGCATCAGGCAGGAGAAGGCAGAGTCCTCCACAGCCTGAAAGCTACAGAAACGCGTTGGTGACTGAACAGTTTGAGATCCTCTCAAAGCAGGGATGCCTGAAAGCCAAAATCCAGCAATCTGCAAGTGCCTCACTGAAGGCATGGAGCAATCTCAGGCGACGGGCAAAGAGGACCCCCCTTTTGGGGTGGAACAAGGCACAGAGAAACAGCCTGAGCCCCGCGGGCACCTCAACGACTGCGGTTCCTCCTCGGGCGAGCAGTCAGACCAAGCGGAGATGGACGAACGGCCCAGAACCTTTGGATCAGTTGCCTTCTCCTGACCTGATCTCCAGGCTCCATGCCCTTGCAGCGTACACAGCTCTTCCCTTGCACCCCAGAGGAGATGCAATAGAAGAGCTACATCCCACTATTACTGCTGCATGTCACCCCTACTTACACGGGTTTTTGTACACACAGTGAGAAGGGCACAGAGGAGGCTGCCATGGGAGAGAGCTGCAGAATAACCAAAAGCTTCCTCAAAAATTATTGCCTATGAAAGTTCAAGCAAATTCAGATAATTATTTGCTCCTTCTGACACAGACGAAAGGTATTCTTGCCATCAGTTCTACTGAAATACTGAAATAAAATAAGATTTTTTGCTTCTAATGAATGCAAGGTCGGCAGACTACAGTTGAGCAGGACACTGACACTAAGCATGAAGAAGCTAAGTAAAGTCTAATCAGCTACTGCTGGAATTAAAAAAATCATTTTTTTAGCTTTACAAGAGGAAGAGTGTTCATGTGACACAGAAGTACAGCATTTCTTTCTGCAGTTCACATGGTATCTCAGCAAAACAACTGCAGGCAGTGTTTCTTGATCCTGGGTGGAACTTGGGAAAGTACCATGACTTCCTTCACATCTAATCTGCAAGCCCTCACTGCACAAACCAGCAGGCTGGCCGAGTCCTATTTGGATGTCTACAAAGTACTGTTCCAAAAGACAGGCACAAATAAAAGCGTGATTTCAGTCGAGGAACAAGAACAAACTTCTTATCTACTTACTTCAAGCCAGTAAAATAGCAACTTCTTCATCTTTAAACTACTTTCCCCAGATTTTCTTTGCAACCTGTTCTGTTCCACTCAAGCACAGAGTTTCCATTAGAGAAAGAATGGGACAGTCATGAAATCTCAACAAAGTCTTTCTGTAGATACAGCTTGTTTAGACTCAAAGCTAAACCAGCCTCCAAGACTCACCGAACAATTTGATGTACAGACCCACTTTTAATTTCTCTTCCTGGCAATCTCCCAGAAAGTGAGAGAACAATTGGTAACCAGTGTTTGCATGGAGTCCAAGAATGCATTTTATGGTCTATAAAATATAATTCCTTTCCTCCCCATTAAATAAAGACAGTAAAAATATCTGACAGCACTTTAGAGACGGAGATCATGGCACTGAACTACCTCCATTGTAACAGAAGGGCTGCTCCAGGGGAACCTTGCCTCCCTTAAAACTTTCCAGCTCCGTTAAGAGCATAACTCCATTCGTAAAGGAGGCAATACAACTTTAAGCTTTGCAACTACCTTTTTAAAAAAAAAACCCAAAATTTTAGTGAAAAACAAGAAACTCCAAAACAAACCAAAACAAAAGAGCTCAGTGATCAACCAGCCTGCTTCTGCTTTAAAAGAGCAGAAGATGCCTGCCCTGTCCTGCTTCCCCCTTGCCCCACGATGTGGGTCTGAGGCCCAGGACAGCGGGGTGGTGTGAACAGGAAGAGGGGCTCTCCACAGCTCACCCCCATCTTCCCCTGGCTTCCACCACTCAGAGTCTGGAACCAGGACAACGGGGTGATGTGAGCAGGAGAGGGGCTCTCCACAGCTCACCCCCATCTTCCCCTGGCTTCCACCACTTGGAGTCTGGAGCGGGAGGTACGCGTTTCGTAACAACAGGAAGCATTAGCCACGCTCCTCTGGTACCCTGGTGGTAATGCCCACCAGGAAAGTCATCTCAATGCAATCAGGACACAAAATGGCTGCTGAACTGGTACTGTTTTCCATTGAGTGTAGGTGCGTGTGAAGATAAAAACCAGAAAGAGAAGACTATCTTTGTGCGAGTAGGGGAGTAAGACCTATCTTGGTGCAAGTCCACACAGTCCTGGATCAGTGCTACCTGCCTTCCTCATCCGTTACCATCACCAGAGAACAACAGCTGCCCAGTCCGTTCTCCCCACGTG